GTCCAAGAAGGGCAATAGCTGGGTCAAATGGTGGTTCCATTCCCAGCTTTCCCAGGAATCTCCATACTGCTTTCCAGATTGGCCGCACCAGTTTGCAGTCCCACCATCAATGTACAAGAGTACCCTTTTCCCCACATCCTCTCCAGCACTTGTTGTTGTTTGACTTCATAATGGCTGCCAATCTTACTGGAGTGAGATGGTATCTTAGGGTGGTTTTGATTTGCATTTCTCTGACTGCTAGAGATGGTGAGCATTTTTTCATGTACTTGTTGATTGATTGTATGTCCTCCTCTGAGAAGTGTCTGTTCAGGTCTTTGGCCCATTTGTTGATTGGGTTATTTGTTTTCTTATTGTTTAATTTTTTGAGTTCTTTGTATACTCTGGATATTAGGGCTCTATCTGAAGTGTGAGGAGTAAAAATTTGTTCCCATGATGTAGGCTCCCTATTTACCTCTTTTATTGTTTCTCTTGCTGAGAGAAAACTTTTCAGTTTAAGTAAGTCCCATTTGTTGATTTTTGTTATCAACTTTTGTGCTATGGGTGTCCTATTAAGGAATTTGAAGCCCGACCCTACAATATGTAGATCGGAGCCAACTTTTTCTTCTATCAGACGCAGAGTCTCTGATTTGATATCTAGCTCCTTGATCCACTTTGAGCTAATTTTTGTGCATGGCGAGAGGAGGGGATTCAGTTTCATTTTGTTGCATATGGATTTCCAGTTTTCCCAGCACCATTTGTTGAAGATGCTATCCTTCCTCCATTGCATGCTTTTAGCTCCTTTATCAAATATAAGATAGTTGTAGCTTTGTGGATTAGTCTCTGTGTCCTCTATTCTGTACCATTGGTCCACCCTCCTGTTGTGGTACCAGTACCATGCTGTTTTTGTTACTATTGCTCTGTAATATAGTTTTAAGTCTGGTATCGCTATACCGCCTGATTCGCACTTCCTGCTTAGAATTGCTTTTGCTATTCTGGGTCTTTTATTTTTCCATATGAATTTCATGATTGCTTTATCCATTTCTACAAGAAATGCCGTTGGGATTTTGATTGGCATTGCATTAAACCTATAGAGAACTTTTGGTAATATCGCCATTTTGATGATGTTAGTTCTGCCTATCCATGAACAGGGTATATTTTTCCATCTTCTAATATCTTCTTCTACTTCTCTTTTTAGGGTTTTGTAGTTTTCATTATATAAATCTTTCACCTCTTTTGTTAGGTTGATTCCCAAGTATTTTATTTTTTTTGAGGATATTGTGAATGGAGTGTTTTTCCTCATTTCCGTTTCAGAAGTTTTGTCGCTGATATACAGAAATGCCTTTGATTTATGCGTGTTGATTTTATATCCTGCCACTTTGCTGAATTCATTTATTAGTTCTAGTAGTTTTTTTGTAGACGCTTTTGGGTCTTCTAGGTATAGAATCATGTCATCTGCAAATAGTGATAATTTAAGTTCTTCCTTTCCTATTTTTATGCCTTTAATTTCTTTCGTCTGTCTAATTGCTCTGGCCAGTGTTTCGAGAACTATATTGAATAGAAGTGGTGATAGAGGGCATCCCTGTCTTGTTCCAGATTTTAGGGGGAATGCCTTCAATTTTTCTCCATTGAGAATGATGCTAGCCTGAGGCTTAGCATAGATAGCTTTTACAATGTCGAGGTAAGTTCCTGTTATCCCTAGTTTTTCTAATGTTTTGAACATAAAGGGATGCTGTACTTTGTCAAATGCTTTTTCTGCGTCTATTGAGATGATCATATGGTTCTTATTTTTAAGTCTATTGATGTGGTGAATAACATTTATTGATTTCCGTACATTGAACCATCCTTGCATCCCAGGGATGAATCCTACTTGATCATGGTGCACAATTTTTTTGATGTGCCTTTGTATCCGATTCGCCAGAATTTTATTGAGGATTTTTGCATCTAGGTTCATCAGAGATATTGGTCTGTAGTTTTCTTTCTTTGAGGTGTCTTTGTCTGGTTTCGGAATCAGGGTGATGTTGGCCTCATAGAATGAATTTGGCAGAGCTCCTTCTTTTTCTATTTCCTGAAAAAACTTGAAAAGTATTGGTATTAATTCTTCCTTAAAGGTTTTGTAAAACTCCGCTGTATACCCATCCGGTCCTGGGCTTTTCTTGGTTGGAAGTCTTTTGATTGCTTCTTCTATTTCATCTATTGTTATTGGTCTGTTTAAGTTGTGAGTATCCTCCTGACTCAGTCTGGGCAAATCATATGACTTAAGGAATTTATCGATGTCTTCACTATCTTCTATTTTACTGGAATATAGGTTTTCAAAATAATTTCTAATTGTCTTCTGTATTTCTGTAGTGTCTGTTGTGATATTGCCTTTTTCATCCCGTATGTTAGTGATTTGAGTTCTCTCTCTTCTTCTCTTCGTTAGCATGGCTAAGGGTCTGTCGATCTTATTTATGTTTTCAAAGAACCAACTTTTAGTTTGGTTAATTTTTTCAATAGTTTCTTTTGTTTCAATTTCGTTGATTTCCACTCTGATTTTAATTATTTCTTGCCTTCTGCTACATTTGCTGTTGTTTTGCTCTTCCTTTTCTAGGGCTTTGAGATGAAGTGTGAGCTCATTTATTTTTTGGTTTTTCCTTTTTTTGAGGAATGACCTCCAAGCGATGAATTTCCCTCTTAAAACTGCTTTCATTGTGTCCCATAGAATCTGATATGTTGTGTCTGTATTTTCATTTATCTCTAAGAATTTTTTGATTTCTTCCTTTATGTCTTCTGTAACCCATTGATCATTCAGTAACATATTCTTCATTTTCCATGTGATGTAGGATTTTTCCTTCCTTCTTTTATCATTGATTTCCAGTTTCATTCCATTATGATCAGATAAAATGCATGGTATTATCTCCACCCCTGTATATTTACTGAGGGTTTCCCTATGGCATAATATATGGTCTATTTTTGAGGAGGATCCATGTGCTGCTGAGAAAAAAGTATATCCACTTGATGATGGTTGATATATTCTATATATGTCAGTTAAGTCTAGGTTGTTGATTGTGATATTGAGTTCTATAGTTTCTTTATTCAACTTTTGTTTGGAGGATCTGTCCAATTGTGAGAGAGGTGTGTTGAATTCACCCATAATTATTGTGTTGTGGTCTATTTGATTCTTGAACTTGAGGAGAATTTGTTTTATGAACGTCGCAGCACCATTATTTGGTGCATAAATATTGATAATTGTTATGTCTTGTTGGTGAATGGTTCCTTTTAACAGTATATAATGTCCTTCCTTATCCCTTTTGATTAATTTAGTCTTGAAGTCAATTTTATTCGATATGAGGATGGCCACCCCTGCTTGCTTACGAGGACCGTGTGCGTGGTATATTTTTTCCCAACCTTTCACCTTCAGCCTGTGTATGTCTTTTCCAATCAGATGTGTCTCCTGGAGGCAGCATATTGTTGGATTTGTTTTTTTTAATCCATGTTGCCAGCCTATGTCGCTTTATTGGAGAGTTTAAGCCATTAATGTTTAGAGTTACTATTGATATATGGTTTGTACTTCCAGCCATGTTTGATTATTTATCTTCTTCTTTTTTTTTTTAATTTAGTTTGTTTCTCCATGGTTAGCTTTCCCCCCGCCCTCTGTCTTTATAGAGGCACTTCCCACTGATGGTTTTGGTTACTGTTTTTCATTTCTTCCTCGTGTAGTGTTTTGCTCAAGATGCTTTGCAATGCTGGTTTTCTGGCTGCAAATTCTTTTAGCTTTTGTTTATCATGAAAGATTTTTATTTCGTTATCGTACCTGAAGCTTAATTTTGCTGGATACAGAATTCTTGGTTGGCATCCATTGTCTTTCAGTGTTTGAAATACATTGTTCCAGGATCTTCTCGCTTTCAGCGTCTGTGATGAAAAATCCTTTGTTAACCTTATTGGTTTACCCCTGAATGTAATCTGCCTCCTTTCTCTTGTAGCTTTTATTATTTTCTCTTTGTTTTGCATATTGGATATCTTCATAACAATGTGTCTTGGCGTTGGTCTACTGTGATTTTGTGTGCTCGGTGTCCTGTATACATCTACAATTTGTATATCCGTTTCCTTTTTTATTTCTGGAAAGTTTTCTGTAATTATTTCTTTCAGCAGGTTACTCATTCCCTTGGTTTGAATCTCTGTACCTTCTTCTATCCCGGTGACTCGTAGGTTTGGTTTCTTTATGTTATCCCATATCTCTTGGATGTTTTTCTCGTGGTTTTTATTATCTGATGTTCTGGCTTCTACTTGCTCCACTCTGTTAGTGATACTCTCAATTGAGTTTTTAATTTGGTTTATCGTTTCCTTCATTTCTAGAATTATTGTTTGGTTTTTTTTTTTATAATCTCAATCTCCTGATAAAGATGCTTAACTTCTTCTTTTATCTGTCTATGTAATTCATTTTCAAAGTGTTCTTTCACTGTTTGGATTTGCTGTCTCGTATCTTCTTTAAGGTTCCATTCCATCTGTCTAAGGTATTCCTTGAGTTCTTTATTTGACCATTTTTCTGCTGACTCTAGGTCCTCCTGCATATTTAGGCTGTCCTTCATTGTTTGTACTCCTTTTCTTCCTTGCTTTTTTATGCTGCTCATGTTACTTCTTGTTCTGTTTGACTGCTGAGTTTCTGTTTACTCTTATAGATTTATTTGATGCTTGAGAGGAAAGATATTAGAAGGGAAGGGAAGAAGTCACTAAAGAGAATGAGAGTAGGCAGGTAGAATTCAAGGAAGGGGGAATAAGAAAATTGAAAAGAAATGAAAAGACAAAAGAAACAAGAATAACAAAGATTAGATAATAAAGAAAGAAAGAAAAGACGAAAAAAAATTTTTAACAAAAATAATAGTGATAATAAAAAATGAAAATTAAAATTTAAAAAATAATAAAATGAAAAAATAAAAAAATAGAAACATTGAAAAAAAGTTAAAGAACAACAACAAATAAAAATTGAAAATGAAAGAAAAAGAAGAAAAAAAAAGAAAAAGAAAAGAAAAAAAAATGATAATAATAATAATAATAAATGCAGTCCTAAAGTTCTATTAACTTCTCTTCCAGTAGGTGGAGCTGTGCCCACTGGGCCAAGCTTCTCCTCTCAATAGGTGGGAACCATTCACTGTGCAGCAGCTCTTTCTCCTAGACTGGGCGGGTCTCCAATCCTGAGTGTCTAGGGCCTTGTCTTGTGTTTCCTCAAGCCAGGCCGTGCTCACCTGTGGCGCTCACCACAATACTGGCTACACGCCAGGTCTGCTGCTCCTGGGAGCCCTGTTTTCATGAACATCTGGGCTCACTCTCCCTGTTTGCCTCCCTCAGGCAAACCCTAAGTTTGTAGAGCTTGGGGCTGAGATCCCCCAGCGAATTTTCTTGCCCTCCTGTAGCCACGCCCCCGGTAGCTGGTGCAAGAGACCTCAGTTGTCAGCACTGGTGGGAGCAGTAGCCGGGAGTTCCGCGCCGGGAGTTCCATGCCGGGAGTTCCGCGCCGCGAGTCCCGCGCCACTCCTGATTCCCTCGGTCTGGTTATTGCGTTCACAGGAGAGCTGGGAGTGCCCCTTAAGTTTTCCCTGCTGTGTGGAGAGAGATGACTTGGGGATTACACACCTGTCGCGCTGGTTTCAATGCAGTTATCTCCTCCGCCTGTGACGCCATTTCTCTGCCATGGTGATATCCCATGCAAATGGTGACCGTTTGTTCCCTTTGCCGGGTGACCAATGCAACGGGTGGGTCCTGACTGTCTCTCCCAATCCCCGTTTCAGTCCTGTGGCCACTGCCTATGAAGGCTCGGTTGGCTTTTACCTCTGTAAGTTCCTAAGGGCCGGCCAATTACAGAAAAATAACTTTTTCAAGAAGACAGCTTTTTTGTTTCTATTTCTCAGAAACAGTCCTTGAAACGGTATTTTACTTTTTTTTTTTTTACAGAAGCAGTAAAATAGAGTCACTTCTGTTATGCTTTACTTACGCAATCCTATAACAGTTCTTAACCTTATAATTGTCTTATGCAGCTATCTCTGTCCTGTAACTTAACCTATATTAATGCTTCTTTATGACTATAGTTAACCTATAGGTTTTTACACATACTTATTATCATGCTACAAACATCTTTAAATTGTTTGTCTATGTTTTATATTGATTAGGTCATACCACAACAGCTTCATCTCCAGGATCGCCCTTTCCACCTCCTCCAAGGCGTGCTCACGTCTCTCCACAGCCCTCTCCCTCCTAAGCACCTCCTTTTCCCTCTGGCTGGCCCACAAAGCCAGGGCGCTGGCCTGCTCCAGGAACCTGCCCCAGTCTCCCTCGATGCACACGGGGAGCTGGGGCCCTGGGGGCCCTGGGTCCTGGCGCTGCCCCGCCTGGCAGTGGCCACTCTTCTCCAGCTCCTCCCTGTGCATGCTTTTCAGATGCTTCCAAAGAGCGGTGGTGCCCACATTAACCCCAGGACCACAGCTCACCTGCCTGCCACACAGGCGGCAGGTGGCATACTGGTTGGGATGGTGAGCAGCACAAGCAGGGGCCAGGTGGAAATACTCCCATGCTTCAGAAATCCGGATCCCCTTGTTGTGGGGTATCAGGGTGGGCACAGTACTCACAAACGGACCAAGCTCTCCGGCCTCACAGATCTCCTCCTCCTTCTTCATCTCCAAGTCTCCTTTTACCTGAATCCTGGTTGCCTCCTCTTCCACCTCTTCTCGACTCATTGTGTCTCCTTCCACTGTCTTCAGATGTGCCTAGACATGTACAAAACGTCTTTAGTCAAGCTACAAGCTGGAATGCGTATTGGGGAAGGGACTAGGGTAACTCTTGGGGACTCACAATAATCGTCAAAGGCTAGGCACACCTGGGGATGTGATATTTCCTCCTTTCTGCTTCACTGGAAAATTTGAGTCAGATTCAGGCAAAAGGGTCTATGAGTACATTTCTTCCACGCCCCCAATACTTGCTGATCCCTCCTTGAATAGGCCAGGAAGACAAAACATATTATTTCCTGTAACAAAGATATTCACTGCCCAACCAATATAATGCTTTTAAGTGAACTCAGTGTTCACCACATCACCCATCAAAACAGGCGTTTTTGCATATTGAAAATTTTAAGTTTTTCTCTTTATTCTTCTCCATGCTGTTTCTGTGTTCCTTGTTAGTTACAGAATGTGTTTTGGAGGAGGAATAGCCTCAGGATTCAGGCTGTTCAGGACTTCGAGGGCTGGGGCCTCACTGGCTCTTCCTTGGTAGGGAAAAGCAAACACAGATGATCATGAAAGAGAGAGACTCCCTTTCTAAGCTGTTTCAGTAAGCAGTCCAGATGCTGCAAGGCCTGCCAGGATCTGCATAATCAAGTTCCCAGTGTGAGGTCAGTTGTCCCTAGAGAGGTTCCTCTGAGGCTGAGATTCTAAGAAATCTTACCAGCAGGCCTCCCTGCTTTTAGCAAGAGGGGCTGGCACACAGAGAAAGGGTGGGGCACATCCTCACAAACCTGGTGTTGCCTGGTTTTCCTCAGCAGGCAGCTCACCATACTCCCCTTTCCCTACCATGATCACCTTCCAAGTCAACAGCTAATAAAACCTTCCTGAAGCACCTTCCTCCAGATGCTTGGCTTATCTACCACATTTTAGAGATAAATAAATACATGGAAATTACCTTGCATTTTAAACACAATAATATTGCATTTTGAAAAAACAGTTTGATTTCTCTCTCATGTGTTATTTCTTAAATTAGAGGGTTTTTTATTTTTTGTTTTTTTCATCAAGCTTTACAACCCTGAAGAGTTAGGAAATCCCCCCCCACCCCAAGACACAGTGGGTACTTACAAACCAGGAAGGCTCTGAACTTGCTCCTGATCTCTCTGGTGCCCAGTGAATGTGTTCCAGAACACCTGGGTGGTTGTTAGCTGGCTCTTAACCCCAGGAGGAAGACACCTCCAATTCTGGTTTCCTCCCACTTCCAGGAGAGTTCTGTTTTCAAGTGGGTGTGTCTCTGTTCATAAGGTTTCTCTGCAGCAATTAAACACAAAGGCAAACCTTTCTCCTCCCCTCTACCACCACAAAAGCTGTATCCAGCAAATGCCATGCTGCAAAACAGATTGTCAAGCACCTACAACTTTTAGTTCAATTTCCCCATGAGGAGATTATGTGACCTCTCAAGCAAAGAAATAGATTTAAGGCAAAAGAATGAGGGTGAAATTTGGGCCAAAACCCACATATCTCAAGAACCTGTGATTCCAAATATTTTGTCCAATTTTCAGATCATGAGTTTTGACTTTGGGTTTGACACCTATGGCTGTTATAAATGCAGTCAGTAGAAAAGTTAAAGAACCTGCTGAACAGGGAAGATTAAGTGAAAAAAAAAACCCTAAAATTCAAAGAAGTATGGCAAGTTGGGAAATAGAGTTTGGAATGTTTTTTATTGTATTATGTAACTAGACTTGGAAAAACTACAATGCTTCTGGCTTCTACTCTCAGAAATAAAGGAATAGTCACCACCACTTAGGCAAAAATACACATTTAAGTATATATATATATATGTGTGTGTGTGTGTGTGTGTGTGTGTGTATACATACATACACACACACACACATTTATTTTAAATTTGGGAAGGAAGATCTACCAAGAGGAGATAGGAATATGTTTAGGATGTCCATAAAAAAATAAAATAAAATTTGCATTGTAGAAGAAAAGATAGAAAAAGCATAACCCAAAACATGTAAGGACTACAAGTTAAATTTCCAGTGGGGAAAAAGGGGTGGAAGAAAGATTCCAAATTGAAATGAAGAATTGGTAAACAAATAGGAAAACTTTAAGAGACAAAAATAATCTCTTTGTATAATAAAAAGCTAAATGTTTTCAAAATGATCTGATGAAAAGATCTTTGGGAAAGGTGCTGTCCAAACATTGGCAAGGTAAATGGGGTTAATTTAAATAGTCACAGTATTTAATCTGTGGAAATGAGGAAATGTTACAAATCCAAGTCCTTTTACTCACTGCTTGAAAGATGCTTAGTGAATCAAGAACCAGTTGTTGTGTTGCATGAAGACACTCAGAAAACACTCAAAGTACAAATTTAAAACAAGTTAGGGAGCTCTATTATATTACCAGGGACACTTCTGCCATGCCCAAATGGCCTTCTGACAGAAGCATGCCAAGCTATCTGTAGTTCCAATATTTAAGGAAGAAAACCACATCTTATAGAATTTTCCAGGTAGCAAGCAAGCAGACTCCAGAAGCTGAAAAATCAGTTAGCAAAACAACTCAAACAACCACATCCTGGGTTCAAGCAGGTGTTTAGCAGGGGTGAGAGTCTACTTCAAAGCCATGAATACCACAAGACCACCTTATCCTGGGTTGAGCACATTTTGTGGGGTACACGGTTCAGAAAAATAACTTGCAGCAGAAGACAGCTTTCATTTTCATTTCTCAGAAACAGTTAATATGATAGTTTCACATGGGAACCATAAAGATGGAGTCACTATGGCTATACTTCCTATTTTATTGATCTATGTTTTTTAATCTATAATCTATAACATTAATTATTGATTAACTCAGATCAGCATTTTTAAATCAGACCATAACAGAGCAAGGAAGAAGGTTGATTCCATAAACCAGACAATTCCTGAAGATGGTGAACTGGTGTCCTAAAGGACATCCTAACTCAGCTTGCATTTCAGGTTCCTTTCATCTTCAGAAGGGTAATTTAAAGTAGGAAGTGATTGATGGTAGCCTCGAAGGGGAAGTTGTAAAATCTGGTGGTTGGCAATCTGTTGATTTTACAAGTAGTCACAAGTTCATGATGACCCTACAAATCATGAAGACATCTGAGTTATTCCTTTCTTGGCCTGGTCAGTCTTGAGGAGGATGGTAGAGAATTTAGGGACCTTTCAGTTAAATCAACTTTATATTATTAGTTTTAAATAAACATTCCTTAAATAATTAATGAGGGGTGCACACTCAAGGAAGTGGAGGTGTTTTCTAGAGAAAGACCACAGAGCCGGGGTTAAATACAACATGGAGGAGGTGGAGCTAATTTCCCTTTGAACTACAAGCATGGCTATGGAAATGATCAATCTTACAGTCAGATGTGGACTCAGTTTTTTTTTTGTTTTGCTTTGTTTTGTTTTTTGCATCTCAATCTCATCATCCTCTAATCATATACCAGCTCCTCCTGGCTTCTGGGGCAACATCCCTGACTCACATATGGTCCTCAAGATGTTCTACTAGGGAACCCACTCTACCTGTCTATGTGGGGGAACTCCCCACTACTTTACCACAAAGACCACCAATAGAATCCAGGCCCATACTTTCCCTGTCCACAAAATGTGACTTTGTTTTCTAAGTAATTCACAGATTTCACTCTTTTCTGTACTCCTGTATAACTGTCCAAATACTTGGTGGGAATTTGCTACATAATTCTTTGTACTAGTGCTCACTTATTCCATATATAGTTAGAATCATGCATTGAAAAATTATATGACTCATCTCTCAATGCAATAGGTACATAATAAGTTAGTGAAGGGATTTTTACTTCTCAGCCACAGAACACATGTGTGTATGAGTATGTGTGTGCATGTACATTCTTATGCATATTTACTTCATATATTTTCAGATTTAGCATGTTCTTACTTGTTGAAGACAAATGGAAGTTCCCTACTAAAGACAGTTCTGCTTGCTCTACAAACACATATATTTGAAATTTCCTAGGGCATTTGGCCTCTGTTGAACCACTTTGGTCTCTGACTTTTCAGTTTCAGATATCAGGAAGAGTTTTAGAACAAGAACCTAAACCAAATCTTGGAACACAGAGTCTGGAGGTCATATAGAATATTTGAAATCTCAGTAGTTTCAGAAACATGAATCAAAGCAAAAAAAATTTTTTTTAGTTGTAGATGGACACAATATCTTTATTTCATTTATTTATTTGTATGTGGTGCTGAGGATCAAATCCAGTGCCTCACATGTGAAAGGCAAGTGCTCTACCACTGAGCCACAACCCAAGCCCCTGTAAGAGTCAGATCTTTTCATGTTTTTGGAAGTTGATAAGACATCTGTTCAGTGAGCCCACTGCCTTTGTAAAATAATGAAACCCCCACTTGTTCCTGATATTACTGTATCATCATCTTTTTGTGGGTTAATTGAAGATGGAAGAAATGAATCATGAGAATGGTTAACACATTGAACCTAATATAAACCTTTACAACATTTTTTTTTAGAATTTCATTTCCTATGTTTCTCTACTCCTTTACGGACTAACTGGAAATAAAAATCCATTTTTGGCATTTTATTGGAGGAAATGAACTGAATTCTCTTTACTTAATAATGAGTGTATTTTCAGAGATCTGGTTTTACTTTTTATTTTTTAGAAGATAAAATTTCATATTTTCTACATAACTGCCACATACATAACTGTCCCCATTGCCTTGAAAAAACACGTGTTGAATGAGTTGCCAGACACTGTCGTCTAGGTGATACGTAACCCCCTTTGAAAGTTTGCTTGTTTGCTGGGGATTCGATAGTGATGTACTGAGGGATGGTAAGCTGCACCTCAATGGAATCCCATCAGGAAAATGTTCCCTAACACCCTTCAGTAGAGTTTCTCAGCTCTGTAGTTTCCAATTCTTTGGGAGTCACCAGTTTATAGAGTGGCACAGCAAACATCACCGACAGTTAATTGTTCTTTACTGGTTAACTATTATATTTTTCAATTGTGAATATTTGGGCACTAAGAACCTGGGCCAGGCATATATAAAATATACACATCTCTTGTTTAGAAAACAGGTTTGAAAGCAAAAATAACCGAAATGGGGACAGACCTTTATGGATCAGCAAGTCTTTCTTTATTAAGCAACAGAATGGCACATTTTCAGGGGAGAAAATGGCAACTGGTTATAGTAGAGGTCTCATTTTTATAGAGTTTAGTGAGAGTTAATCATAGTAGAATGTGCAGTGTGACTTAATCATTAGAGACTTAATCATAGCCGAATGTGTCAGTTGGGCAGTCAGGAAAATAGTTGTAGAACAGGAAATTGTAAAAGTTCAGAGTTCATTATTTTCCTTCTCTCCCTGGGACCCACTGTCCACCTTTTCTCCCTGGGGTTGTTGTTTCCATATCCTTCAAGTTTAATTATAAATGGAATTATAATTTTTTAGGGAATCAGATAAAACAATAGGGATTCAATAAACATCACTGAATATTTTCACCGAGATATAGAAAAAGTATTATCCACAAAGAACAGTGTTAAAAATAAAATCAACTAACCTAGCATCTAAGTTCCATGTTTTTGTAACATAACTATCTGTTCTTCCCCTTTTTTTCTTATTTGGATATGACATGTTTTACCAGGAAACACCTTGGACTGATATTGAGGTGACATAGTTCTTCAATAGTGCCCATTAACTGTTTTCCACTTCCTTTAGCCTCTTGATGACTTGATTTTTCCCATCTTTCAAATGGCAATAATAAGGCAAAGAATCAAGACAAAAAGTAAAAAATAACAATAATTAGAAAAATTCTTTACAAGTCAAAAGTGGTATAATTATATTAATGGTTTCTGTAGTTGTTGCTACAAATAATCTTTTACATTGTTTGGAAAACAGAACGTGTGCATCTCTCCTCCATTTTAATCTAACAATTTTCTTTTCTGGCCTTTGCCTGATATACCTTTATTTCTTCTATTCTGTAGTTTTTATTTAGTACTAGATTACTCTGCCTACACAAAGTTATGATTTCTCTTTTCCAAAACCCAAAAACTAGACAGGTAACATTAGTATAGTCCTAGATTCTTAAATTGACCTAGGGTTCTAGCCCTAAATGTATAACATCTCTGTAGGCAATAAAGTACAGCAATATGTATAGTAAACATTTTAATACAATCTATCTCAGAAATAGGTTGCCCAGTTAAAAAGAGAGAAAATCGTGTTTTGCCAAATTGTCTTGTGTGAACATTGGTGAATGTGTAAGGAGTACCAATTTCTTCTGAATTTGCAAATAATCTTCTTTATGTCTGTCCTAGAAAACATTTACCTGCTCACTAAAGAATGTGTTTCCCAAAGCAAGCCTCACATGGTTTATAGATGGAAGGTTTCTTCAAGGTGAAGAAGAAGGTAAAGAAGGAAATCAATGGAAATGGGTTTTAAAAAGAAAGAAATAAAACATCAGAAATTTTCATTGCCCAAGTTATCTTGGCATTTAAAAATAATTTTCACTAAAGGAAAATCATTGTCTTACCCATCAGATGCCATTTTCTGATGCTGCATCTGACTCTCCCATGGGGTGGAAGGTAACATTTCCCAGAATAAAGGAAACACAATTGGCTCCATCAAACCACATACAAGCACTGTTTTATTTCAGTGTTAGTGAAAGCAAATGTCTTACATGAGGGCAAAAACACTTACTTCAACATGTAGTTATTACTAATAAGTTCTCGGCTTTTGTAACATTGCTACCTGTTCTTCCATTTCTTTCTTATTTCAATACAAGATGTTCAATTTATTTAGCACTACTGCTTTAAATCAATTAAATAATTTCTACTTATTTTGTGAGGATCTGGGGCAAAGTTTGGGGTTGTGGACTCTGGAGGAAGTATATATAAAGGAACTGGATCCTTAACAAAGAACATGTTCACCAGGAGGGTTAAAAGTTCCTGGGGCAGAAACACACACTGAGACAAGCTCAGCACAAAACTGTATTTTTCATAAGTGGTAACCATGACAGCCGCTGTCAAAACAATCTCAGACATCCCCTGCCTGGACAACAGGCCTTCCTCTGGGTCGTTTTCCCTTTAAGCTTAACATATTTTTAACAATAACTCAATCACAAAACTCTTGCTGCATGATTATTTTTAACTTTTAAAATTAAAAGCTTATGTGGATGATTAGATTGATCCCTTAAAGCATAGTTTATTGGTTGTGTTAATTAGTTTGCTTTAGGCAATTCATCCACAACAATAATATGATGCAATCTTAAAAATATCTGTTAAAGATTATTGTAAATATGTTCTATCAAATAAACCCTGCATAGGTAAAGCACCCAGATTTGATGTGCCCATTACTCTTAACCAGGAGGCTCAATGGTGTGGTCAGAATTCTATCAGTACACAATGGCATTTAACTATTGCTTTGTTAAGAAATAACTGCAAAACTAGCATTAAGAAGTTTTAATGTAAAGAAACTGTGAAAACTGGGTGCAGTGGTGCAGGCCTGTAATCCCAGAAGCTCTGGAAGCTGAGGGAGGAGGATGGTGAGTTCAAAGCCAGCCTCAGCAAAATCCAGGCACTAAGCAATTCAGTGAGACCCTGTCTCTAAATAAAATACAAAAAAGGGTTGTGGATGTGGCTCAGTGGTTGAGTGCCCCTGAGTTCAATCCCTGGTATCCCCTAGAATAAAAAAAAAATTCAAAAATACTGTGAGAGTCCAGAAAAATCTGACCTATGGTGATAGACAATTTTACATTAATTCCCTGTGGCCATATGTGCTGTTTGGAAGTTGTACAGATAGAGGCAAACAGCATCCAATTTTTAAAGACTTTGCAAGATGCAAAATGCAAATACTTATAAGTCTACAGCTTATTTCAGGGAAAGGATACACATAGAAACTCAATTAGAATATGTGTTATCTGCTACAGTTACAAAGAGTCCCTGGAACTCAGATGTGACCTACTCTGTACTTTCTCTGAAAGGGCCACAGCCAGAAGCACTTTCTCAGAGCAGGAACCACCAAAGAATGGTGTAGAACAGCACTGAAGTAAGAAGCTCAAAGTAGAGTCGTGGATGAAGTTATTTTTTAATTTTACACATCATGTAGGTATATTCTTGCTACATAACCAGACTCTACAACAGAACCCTCCCAGAGTCTAACCCAGTCCAAGTGAAAATCATCAATGTCATCATTATAGTAAACAGTGCTGCTGAGCTAGGAAAATCTGCCCCTAAACCCTGGACCCATAGTCACAAACAAAGCAACACTACTAATCAATGCATTTCATACCTTGACTGCAGATCAGATCAACACTTTGTAGAAGCACAAGCAAACACTTCAGGTTAATTCCAGGGCTGCTGAAATTGAGCATCACTTCATAGAAGCTACAGTTTGACTACATTAAGCCCCTGCATCACCATAAATTAGGTGGGTGTGGTGGCTCAAGCATATAATCCTAGCTACTTGGGAGGCCTAACTGGGAGAACTGCATAAGCCAAGGAGTTAGATGTCAGCCTGGGCAACATAGTGAGATGCCATCTCAAAAAATAAAGCAAACAAAAAACAACATCAAATGATAAGGCCATGTCTTGGTATCATTATATGGCTGATGCAAAAACATGTTAGTGATAACCATGTTTGAATCTATTTTGTAGGAATAAACATTACCAATGAAGAGAGAAAAGGCAAAAATGGATTTCTGGAACTCAAGTCTATTTTAACAAGGATGCATGGTAGTGAACCAACCCAATCAAGTAACCTGACCATTTGGTGTATGGCTCTGTCTCCAGTCCCTGGAAATAAAATGTGGAATACTTCATCAGAAAAGATCACTTTTTCCTTAGGTGAGTTGTTTATTTAATAAAGTCAGTAAGGACTGGACAAGACTGCCAAAAATTCAGAACATGTCTAATCAGAACAAAAAAAAGTACTCACCATTTCCATAATACTTTGATCTCAGAAAACCCTCTCCCTAATGCTTTACTTTCAAATTATCAAACATTTTCACAAGTAAAATTTGAAAATAATATTACAGGAATTTCTTCAAATGAAAGGAAAGTAGATGATTCCTGTTTCCATAAGGAATTTCTGTTGAATACAGTAATTTTTGTTCAAATTCTATCAATCATAACTCTTTTTTTAAATTTTTTATTGTTGGTTGTTCAAAACATTACATAGTTCTTGATATATCATATTTCACACTTTGATTCAAGTGGGTTATGAACTCCCATTTTTACCCCATATACAGATTGCAGAATCACATCAGTTACACATCCATTGATTTACATATTGCCATACTAGTGTCTGTTGTATTCTGCTGCCTTTCCTATCCTCTACTATCCCCCCTCCCCTCCCCTCCCCTCTTCTCTCTCTACCCCCTCTACTGTCATTCATTTCTCCCCCTTGTATTTTTTCCCTTTCCCCTCACACTTCCTCTTGTATGTACTTTTGTATAACCCTGAGGGTCTCCTTCCATTTCCATGCAATTTCCCTTCTCTCTCCCTTTCCCTCCCACCTCTCATCCCTGTTTAATGTTAATCTTCTTCTCATGCTCTTCATCCCTACTCTGTTCTTAGTTACTCTCCTTATATCAAAGAAGACATTTGGCATTTGTTTTTTAGGGATTGGCTAGCTTCACTTAGCATAATCTGCTCTAATGCCATCCATTTCCCTGCAAATTCTATGATTTTGTCATTTTTAAATGCAGAGTAATACTCCATTGTGTATAAATGCCACATTTTTTTTATCCATTCGTCTATTGAAGGGCATCTAGATTGGTTCCACAGTCTTGCTATTGTGAATTGTGCTGCTATGAACATGGATGTAGCCCTGTAGCATGCTCTTTTTAGGTCTTTAGGGAATAGACCAAGAAGGGGAATAGCTGGGTCAAATGGTGGTTCCATTCCCAGCTTTCCAAGAAATCTCCATACTGCTTTCCAAATTGGCTGCACCAATTTGCAGTCCCACCAGCAGCATTTTTGTTTATTTGCCACATAACAAAGATTAATATAAATACTGAGGATTAATAGAGATTAAAATGATCCTAAAATTTCTTCTAACTCATAAAAAATATCCAATTGTTTACAGCATATATAATTTGAATACTTAGAAAGGGGTAAACCATATTTGCAATATAAATACCATTAGGAAAAGGACTATAGCCTAATGATTTTAGTGCCCTAGTTTGAAGCACAGTATCTGGGATGTAGAAGATTTTATGACCTGGATATTGATATATACCATCATTCTAGTTATTACAAAATTTAACTAACCAGAGTATTTACTACTCTGAGCCAGATCAAATAATGAATATTTTACTACATAAAAGATGAGAACAAATGTCTCAACAAATGCAGTGACAATAGATATGCCTATAAAACATTTCTAATGGCATCTGAAAGATATGTGTATTTAATAATAATCTTATAAAACTAAACATTTGCAAATCATTATTACCACTATGTAGGACAATGAACCTTTTTAATCATTATCCTATTTTCAGAAATAATGTAGTCTCTGACATAATCATAAAAACACAGTATAACTTATGAGGGAAAGGGTTTTTCTTTGTCACAAGGACACGTTTTGTATCTCGGGTCCTGCTAAGTTCCTTTGTGAATATAATGGTTATTACTGGGATCTTGGGATGAAGAATAACGTACACCTCCACCAAATCCATCCTCACTACCTAGAAACAGGCATCCTCTGATGCTGGGAAGGTAACATAGTCCCCAGAGCCCTCCCTGTATATAGGTATAAGTATGAACAAAGTGGTCAATTATCTTTTCGTCAATCATTCAGAAGTTTTGATGGATTTACATGAACATAGCCTTTCTTGGCTCTTCCTAACTCCCTTGGGAATAAGGATGCCTCTTTTCCAGAAGGCTGGACATGGCTTCAGCTTTGGAATAGTATGAAGTTAGTTGTTTGTCACTTACATTTGCCAGTAGCTTTGGCAGCATCTAAGGACTTGAACTAAAAGAGTGTAAAACCTCAAATTCCTAAAGAGAAACCTATTCCTATGCTTGAAAAACAAAAATCAATATTTTGTAATGTGAAAACTGTGCTTGATTTCAAGATCAAAAATTATGAACACTTTTAAGGTAATAAGAAGGAACACTAATTCTGATAACCCCAAACACGCCATAATTCTAATTTTATAAGGGAACCATCAATCTAGTATAATTCTAGACTCTAAACAGGGGGTTAATTTTAAATTGTCAAATGGATCTTCTGCCTCCATGATCAAATATTAAAGACAATAAACCTTGAAGAATTCAGTTTCCCAAAATTCTAGCTCTCATTCTAGTCCCATGGTAACACAATCATTTTGAAAGTGTTAGAAGGTGCACTTGAGGCTCTGCAGAGCAGTGCCATCACTTACTTCCAAACATACTCTCTGGAAGCTTTATGAACTCTGCAATTGACTTCTGCAAGAGTCATTGCTTTACCAAGCTATTTTTGTTGACAAGATACCGAGATGAAAACACAGAAGAAAAATCTATCATCTCAGTGCTGGAAAGAAATTCTGAGACTATTAGAGGAAGAAAGGGATTTAGGGAGAGAAGGGAAGGAATTTTTCTCCCTTTTGATTTCAGAGAGGGTCATAATGTTGGAAGCGGAGGTGCTCCCTTCCCCCCCACACACCCAGTATCCCAGGAAGTTCAAGTGCTCAATGGTGCTTACTCTAGAGAAGTCATAAAGGAGAAGGGGTCCAGGTGAAGCGATCAGTGGCTCTTCAGGTAACTATTTGTGCACAAGACCTGCAGAATTCCCATGATTTAACAGTAACTTTTCCAAAGATATCCTGCCGTGACACCTATCAGAATATCTAAAATTGTAGCACTGTAGTCTATTTTATTTTTTTTCATATTAATACAATTGGTCCAGATACAGTGGCACACACCTATAATTCCAGGTACTTAGGAGGCTGAAACAAGAGAATCACAAGTTTGAGGCCAGCTTCAGCAATTAGAGAGACCCTGTCTCAAAATAAAATTATAAAAGGCTAGGATTATGGCTTAATGGTAGAGCGTTTGCCTAGCATGCAGAAGATACTGGTTTTAATACCTAGTACCACACACACACACACACAAAAAGAGTTTTTTTTTGGGGGGTGGCAAGGTGAAGGGGAGAGATTTTGTTTTGTTTTAATGTTTTAATTGAGAAGTGAAGCACAAATTCCTCCTGGGGTTGTTAATATCCTGGCTGTCATAAACTTTGATAGAGATTTGTCTATTAAATGATTTCCAACTGTGACTACTGAAATCAAGACCTTTGAAATAGAGAGTTGAGGGTGGACAACTATGTGTGTGTGTGTGTGTGTGTGTGTGTGTGTGTGTAAAACTGTGTATGTGTATTTTGGAATGTGGAATATTGATGTATTTGGAGTTAAAAGGAATAGCTCCATAGTGGGATGAGAGGAACACTGATTATCGAGATGGAAGTTGCCAGATATTCTTGTTTTCTGACTCCCTATTTTGCAGCCAGCCTTATACCCAACACTGAACCTGGGGTCCTGAGAGTATCAACAGAGTATTTCAGTATGTGTATAAATCACCAGGGATCTTGTTAAAATTCAGGTTCTGATTCAGTAGGTCTGGGTAGCAGGTGAAATTCTACTTTTCCATCCATTTCCCTGCAAATTCTATGATTTTGTCATTTTTTAGTGCTGCGTAATACTCCATGGTGTATAAATGCCACATTTTTTTTATCCATTCATCTATTGAAGGGCATCTGGGTTGGTTCCACAGTCTAGCAATTGTGAATTGTGCTGCTATGAACATATGCTTAGTGAAGCTAGCCAATCCCTAAAAAACAAATACCAAATGTCTTCTTTGATATAATGAGAGCAACTAAGAACAGAGCAGGGAGGAAGAGCAGGAAGAAAAGATTAACATTAAACAGATACATGAGGTGGGATGGAAAGGGAGAGAAAAGGGAAATTGCATGGTAATGGAGGGAGACCCTCATTGTTATACAAAATTACATATAAGAGGTTGTGAGGGGAATGGGAAAATAAACAAGGAGAGATATGAATTACAGTGGATGGGGTAGAGAGAGAAGATGGGAGGGGAGGGAGGGGGGATGGTAGAGGATAGGAAAGGTAGCAGAATACAACAGTTACTAATAGGGCATTATGTAAAAATGTGGATGTGTAACCGATGTGATTCTGCAATCTGTATTTGGGGTAAAATTGGGAGTTCATAACCAACTTGAATCTAATGTATGAAATATGATATGTGAAGAGCTTTATAATGTTTTGAACAACCAATAAAAAAAAATTTAAAAAAAAAAAAAAGAAATTCTACTTTTCCAACAAGAGCCTAAGAGAAGCCCATTCAACCGGTCAAATGGACTACATTTTGAGCAAAAGGATCTAGCAAGCCCTGGAGTTTGATTAATTTCTAGTTGGACCAGATAAGCCACCTAGTAGTGCCCCAGAATCAGTCCATCTGCCCTTGTGGGACATCCACAAAATGATTCTGAGAGCCATGCCCAGCCTTTTCCAGGGTAGACCACTCAGGAAAAGATCAGGTTGCTTTAGGCCAGCGGCTCAGTACCAGTACTGTGATAAATGGGATGATCTGAAAGCTGGGTGAGGTGTTTCTGCTAAATTCTGCACTTGAGTTTTGGAAAGTCACTTCCCCTGGTAGATTGTAATTATTCCTTTTTCACCCCCTGAATTTTTGTTTTGACCATAGCAGAGATTCTACTTCACAGTCCAATCTGAAACCAGAGAGAAGTTTTTTGGCCTCAGGTTTCATCTTGAAAGCTATGCACCATCTTTGTCCCAGGGCAAAGAGTTCTTCTCAAAATGCAAATCTTGTACTAATGTCTTCCTAATGTAGAGAGAGCCTGAACCCTTCAACTTCCAAAGACTTAGTAATCAAATATAGCAGAATAGTGTCCTAAAACAGAAATCTTCCAGCAATGAAACATAAATGTTTCCCATTGTGGAAGTCTGGGATTGGGCATAACCTATCAACACTTTCCATTCAGGGAGCCAACATTCTGTCAGATAGTAAATACATTAGGTTTGTGGTCTCCATCATGACTACTGAACTCTGTCACCATAGCACAGAAGCAGATGTAGACAACATGTAAACCAAAGGACACCACTGTGTTCCCATAAAACTTTGTTTACAAACAAAGTCAGTGGCGGAATTGACTGTGGGCATCGTTTACCAATCTCTGCTCCAACCAATCTACAGTGAAAATCATTGAGGTATTTATTTTCCAGACCCATGTTCCATCTTATTAAGATATTATTTTTGGAAGATGATGCTTACGGTCTATCAGCAGTCAGATACAACTTAAAACTGGTCTTTTGTCTTCCAGTGTTAAGAATGTATTCATATGTATTATCATTTGCATTTGCCAGGATCCATAAACACAGTGAGGAACAAAACAATTATTTCTCTTGAGGGGCATACCAATGAAACAGAGTGATGAGGGCTTCCCAGAATTTGAGGAGGTACATTCAGGGAAGTTTGGAAGTAAAAGAAAAATGTCAGGAAACAGCATGAACAAAGACCAGAAAGAGGGTCTTGTGTTGGAGAAACTAGGTTGAAATATTTGCCTGTTGGAAACCATGTGTGATTTAAGAGAGAATAGGTAAAAGCTGATGTCAGGAAATAATGTTGGTAGTGTAACGAGGGGCCAAATTATGATAAAAGTTTGAAACCAGCCTCAGCAATTTACCCAAGATGGCATGCTCAAAGTTCCAACTTATTTTGGATAGCATAGAGAAACAGTATGCTCATTTTGTTAACCTAATGCATTCTACATGTAACCCTGCCTCCTCAGATTAATAGCATAAACTTACTTATAACAGCCAGAGCCAACTGTGAACCTTGACCATAGCCTACAGTAATAAAAACACTAAGAATCATAAGAACAAAACACAGATACATGTAAATATATATATAAATAAATAAATAAACAAATACACACACACACACACACACACACACACACTGACCCTTAGAGCAAATTGCAGGATAGAACCAATTGTATAATATGTAACTAAATATCCAGAAAATTGGCATAACTCATCAGGTGTGACAGTATATCCAATGATATTGTTCCTAGAAAAATAACAAAAATACTCCAGCCTCAAAACTTATCTAGCTGCTTTTAAGCTATATGTTCCTGAAGTCAACAGATCCTCCCAGCATTTTCAAATTGTTTCATACCTCAAGTAGGATTATATTAAAGAACAATGGAAGGTGAAAGAATTTAAATGAAGGTAAAATATAAGTGAAACAACATATACTAGCCTGTATTTATACACACACACACACACACACACACATACACACACACACACACAGAGAAAAAAGAGTTCTAGCCAAAAATGTTATGACAAAAGCTATAATTTTAGAAAAATAATACCATACATCTTAAATTCACTGATGTTACATCCAATTAAGTATCATTATTTGTACTACTGGTTAAAAAAAAATGTGAGTCTATGGATTTTATAAACTCTGGGTTTACGAAATATTAAAATATTTCAAAATATTAATTGTTTTCTCATGTCTTGGTTGAACATCCCCTTTCTCTAGGAAGCTTTCCCAGACCTCTCTTTCTTGATCAGTGCCCCGAACTGCATTCCCATGGCACGTTGTCCCTGCACTGTCACCACTGTCACGGCATTCAACACAGAGTTGGCCACCTCTTCTCTAGGCTGTACTCTCTTTAAGGACAGTCCTGTGCCTTTCTTATTCCCTGTCACATCTCTCTGCCTTGCCCATAACCCGCTCTTCAGATTGACTTGTTAGGTAATTAACAAATAAAGGAAAATATTCTTAGCAATTGTTACAATATTTTGTTCATTTTGAATGTCTGATCCTTACAGGTTCTGTGAATGCCCCAACCACGGAGCCTCCACCCAGTGTCACAGACTCTCCCCTGAGCACCCCGCCATCTCCAGCCAACAGTGTATCTCCTACCAGTAAGAATGTGTTCATGCTGCTTTACTTTCCATGAGCTATTAAACAGCTAATCAAGAAGATGGTTAAAGAAAAAAGAATTCAGTAAAAATGCATGATTTATGCCCTTTTCTGCTATGACGTTTTAGAGAAACATGTTAAGTACTGTTCTCAAGGTTTTGAAGAGTTAACAGTTTGCAAAGTCCTTCACTTGGAGTCTTTGAAAAACCCGGACCAATAAATATTCAGTGAAGAATTTAAATTCAGTGTTTATTGCTAAACAGGTTAATAAATTGACAGTCCTTCTTCACAACTGTGTTCTCATTGGGGAGTTTAAAAAAATGGTCACAAATGGTGGCCCCATTTTAAATTTAAATTTGTTTGGGTTCAAATTGATTTCCCAAGCTGACTGGTGAAGACCATGGATTCAGCTGTCCCATCTGTGGTGTCATTAATGATATAGGCCACTGGGTCTGTGTTGCTATGGCAAAAGAATGACAGTGACTCCCAAAGGTTGGCATTGATGCAAACAAATCATAAATTCCCATGTCCAAGGCCCTTGTGCTTAACAAAGAACCATGGTGACTTTCTCCAACACAAAAAAAGAAGAAGTTGTATTCTATAGAGAGAGGATATATGGCTTTCATTTCTTATTTAATTAAAACTATCGATTTTAGCTGAAAATGAGAACTGAAAATGGACAAAATAAAAGCAGACTGTAGGAATGAACAATTCCTTTAGCCAGTAGCCTGTTGCATCTAGCCAGGGGTCACTGTGAGAGGAAGAAACCACTCAGAAAATGAAGTAGATAGCAGGCGAGGGATGCCTGCTTTAGGTCTAGAGGATTATTTCTTGTTCTTACTGTTTTATAATTTTAATTTTTTTCTTCCCCCTTCTCCTCCTTCCTTTTAATTTTTGAATCTTCTCTTTTCCAGCTCATCATTTAGTGATAAATTGTGATAGATTTTGGCATTCTTCATTCAGTACATATTAGCATATTTAATAATACCTTAAATCTCTACAGTATCCTGTATAACTATCCATTGCTTCATGAAAAATTGCCTGAACACTTACTAAATTATAAAACATGTCTCACATGGTTTCTGGAGTTCAAGAACCCAGAAGTAGCTGGGTGCTGTGGCACTCGCTGTAATCCCCACAGCTTGGGAGGCTGAGGCAGGAGGATTGTGTGTTTGAAGCCAGCCTCAGCAACTTACCCAAGCCCTAAGCAACTCAGAAAGTCCCTGTCTCTAAATAAAATATTAAAAAATGGGCTGAGGGTGTTGCTCAGTGGTTAAGTGCCTCTGCATTCAATCCCCAGTACCAAAAGAACCCAAGAGTAGTTTAGCTGGATAAAACTAAATTGGGATCCTTTCTGAGGTATCATCAAGCTGTTTGCTGGGGCATCCGTCATCTTAGGAAATTGATGGAGCTAAAGCTTTGCTTTAGCATGTTGTCTTCACCACAGGGGCCTCTCCCTAGGACTATATCCTGTAAGGCAGCTGACTTCCCCAAGATCAAGTAATTCAAGAAACCGAGTGACTAAGACAAAAGCTATGGTGCCTTTCTTTGACTTAGTCTCCCATCACTTTTGTCTTATTTTGTTCATTATAAGAAAGTCACCAAGTCCAGCCTCTAATCAGGAGAGGAGATTTGGGTTTCCTGTCTTGAAGGAGTATTAAAGGGTTTGAGGACAAATTAAATGGTGATTTGGTGTCATTTGAAATGTTTTCACATTAAATGCAGTGTTGTTTGATTTTTCACTCTTATGAACAATGGAAAGAGCAATCATTCTTTCCCAATTTTCAGATACGAACATTAAGACTTTGGGAACATATATGTTCAATACCTATTCAACAGAGTTAAGATTCACCAAAGTCTTCTGACTCAAGGTAGTCCTTATCACATTATATACCACTTTTTTTCCTCTGCCATCATAAAGACAGGGACTCTGTTTATTTTGCATATTTGTTTGTAGTACAGTGAAAGGTGGCATACCTTATAAAATTAAAACATGGAGAGGTGCAGATCAGAAAGTGTCAGATCTTACATTAGGAAAGATCCTTGTGGGTTTGTGACAGAAAATGTTCCCTAAAAGAAATGAAGTAAATTGACCTTTGCAGTGTGTATTATATTTACTTGACTTGATGAAGAGCTTGAAAGAACATTTAAACAGTGAAAATGAAGTTAGCTCTTGTGCATTGACAAAAACATTCATGGTCATTTGAGTAAATAGCAGTAGATAAGCTTGGGTCAAAGAAGTGGGACTGTGTATCAAGGAAGCAAGGATGAAGATTGGAAAATGCAGAATAAAGAGAACTTTGAACCCCAGCCAAGGATTCTAAATATTATCCTTTAGGAAATGGAATGGAAACTCATTAAACATTATTTTTAGAAAGCAATGTGTTTTTTCATTACTGTGACCAAAATACTTGCCATAAACAACTGAAAGAAGGAAAAGTTTATCTTGGCTCTAGTTTCAGAGGTTCCAGTCCATGATTATCTACCTTCATTGCTTTGGGTGTGAAGTGAAGCAAAGCATCATGGCTGAAGGGCATAGCAAAGGAAGCAGCTCAGATCATGATAGCCAGCCTGAGAAACACACTCACCTGCCCAAAGCCAAAGATAAGCTCAGAAACACAAGTTATAATAAAAAGACTTTTGAATGACAATCTTGCAAGATTGAGTGTCTGGGGGAGCAGGAGCAGGCACAATCCAGAGCAGTTATAATCAACATTTCATCCCCTAGAACACAAGGTCCTTTCACTGGTTCGTTGTTGGCTGAGTATGGGATGCACAATCTTCCCAAATATCATCTAGGTTTTGCTATCTCTTATTGGATTACTTAAAGAAATAGACCTTAGTTGTCCATGCCAAACCTTCAACACAAGAGCCTTTGTTGGACACTCCAGATTCATAACATGATCTAATTCATTTACCAAATACTCATTGAGCACCTCCTATATATCAGGTAGTTTTCTAGGTAGGTGCTGAGGATACAGCAGTGAATAAAATATGCAGGCACACAAAAATATCCCCTAATAGTATTTACATTCTGCTAGTTGAATGCAGGCATGAATTTCTTCCAGTTGAATTTTCTATGGGGTTGGTCAGCACATGTTAAGTACTTACAGCAGACAAAACACCATGCTTACTTCTGTGAAGACATTCAAAGCAAGGAAAAGCACAGTTGTGCTTAAGGAGCTCACAATTTAATACAGGTCCAGTATTAGATAGGGAATAAAGCACAAAATATAAATATAGTGGTTGAAAGAAAAAAAACAGGGGAAAATGCTACCCAATCTACTGTAACCCTAATATGATGCAACTGGAAAGTTTCTGAAGAGTTAAACCTTTGGAAAGTAAGGTACTACCCCCATGGACCTGATAATGTTTAGGATCAGGAGTTTTCAACCAGGGCAATTTTGCCCCTCCTCAGAAGAATTTTGGCAGTGTCAAGAGACATTTTTGGTTCCCACGATGAGCATGGAAGGTATTACTAGCATCCAGTGGGTAGAGGCCAAGGATTTGTTAAACATCATACAGGATAGGACAGCCCTCGTAACAAAGTTATCGGGGCCAAAATGTCAGTAATGCCAAGGTTGAGAAACCCTTACATCCAGGCTCAAGTGTAATTAGGTCAGCTATCTTTCACTTTACAAGATTAAATCTAAACCTCTGTCAAGGCGGTGGCAACAAATTATGTTTGGAATGATTCTGCCTGATTTTTATATGTCAAAGAAAAAAAAAACAAGTTACATTAGTAGCTGATTATATCTAGATAAAACTTATCTTCTTGGAATAATCACTGAATTACTTTTGAAAAAATCTGTATTTAATCTTGGCAACCTGGAGGGTAACGTGAAATCACACGACAGCTTGATGACTCGCTGCCTGCGAAGCTGTTAGGAGTCATCTTTGCATGTTCTTTTAGGAAAGGAAGCAAGATGGAGCATGTCGTGGAAAATCAACTTCAAGAGGCGACAGATTCACTCCAAATTCTAAGATGCGATGAACTATAATATAATTCAGTCATAATTACCAAGCTTATGAATCTGGCTGCAAGCATAGAATTCTTATTCTTTTTTACTCAGTGAATGGATTTTTTTTTTTTTTGAACAAATATAGAAGGTCATGGAAGCAATATTTTTTAACTACAGGAGGAGAACTTTATAACTCATTACAAACTATAAGAATCACCCAGGGAAACTTAGCTCAATTCAACCAGAGCTAATTAGTGTTTGTTGAGTCCCAGACGCATTCTCAGTTCTGTTCTAGGAAAAGATGAGAGGCTGACAAGCTCAGTGGTGAGTGAGACAAGCCCACATGGAGCAATCTGAGATACCAGGTAAATTCAGAGTGGGACAAAATCACTTTCCTTGGCCTGAGGAGATACCCTTGTCCCTTTCAATATACGGCTATTAATTGTCTACTAGTCATCTTACCTAAGACCATAGGACACACGAATGCCAACCCTGATGTGGTAATCATTCAAGACCTTTATTCATCCAATAAATAAATATGGAATGCCTACAACCAGGGATTTTTAAGGTGCTGGGTTACAGCGGTAAACAAGACAGGCAGGGGCTGGGGATGTGGCTCAAGCGGAAGCACGCTCGCCTGGCATGCGTGCGGCCCAGGTTCGATCCTCAGCGCCACATACAAACAAAGATACTGTGTCCGCTGATAACTAAAAAATATATATTAAAATTCTCTCTCTCTCTCTCTCTCTCTCTCTCTCTCTCTCTCTCTCTCTCTTTAAAAAAAAATTTTAAAAATAATTAAAAAAAAAAAAAAAAAAACAACAGGCAGGTCCCTTACTGCACAGAGCTTACAGTCCCAGAGGACTCTCACCTTGCTTTCCATTTCTCTGCCCATCAAGTCACAGATCCTTTCGCTCTGTATTCTATTTTTATGTCTTTACATGACCCTCAGACCTGATGAGACAGATTGGGACACTAAAGCTTTTATTCAATAACTTATCTGGTCCTCACAGTCCCCTCTATCCCCAGCATCAGTGTTG